AGCAGCTCAGGAGTGAGCACACACACAGTGGAGCAGCTCAGGAGTGAGCACACACACAGTGGAGCAGCTCAGGTAAAGGGTTCAAGGCACAAAACCATGGCAACGTTTTGTTTTGTAAGGAGGAATCTCCAGCAGCTCTGAGGGATGTGATGACAACCAGGAAAGGGAAATTCTGCCTTCAGAGCTCCCTCAGAGCACCGTGGATACTCCATTCTACATTAACACAGTTCGACACTTTCTTTTTTTTGCCTTTTCTGGATCAAATCCCCCTTTTGGTGTCTCATTTCAGCTCATCCTGACTAAGTTTTTGGAAAATTACTGGGGGAGAACAGGACCTCTGTGTATTGTTTAATCAAGAACTATCCATCTGTTAACTGGCAGTTTGATGTGCTTCTGAAAAGCCAAAATGAATCCTAAAAGATAGCAAATGTGCTCTCTTCTACAGGACAGAGAAGAATTGATGCCATGTGAGCATTAGGAAGAGCAGGGTTGGAGAAGTGTTTACAAATTTGGCTGCTTGTGCTCCAGAAGTACCAATTCAGAGCACAACAGGGGTAGAGAAATGAGGGATGAAGTTACTCATGGGAAACAAAACTGCCTTACCAGCAAAGAGGGGGAAAAAAGCCTTTATTCATGCTACTAAGCATGGCTGGAAGAAAACAGATTGCTCTGCACAAATTCAGTAAGAAAGAGAATTATTCAAGCCATGACAATTGTGTTAGCACAGAAAAACCCTTTCTGAGTTCTAATGATCAGGTCTCTGCAATGCTCTGGTGAAAAGAACAAATAAAAAACAAACTAGCTTTCAGCTCCATCCTGATCTGTTCCTCCAGTTTCAGGGTTTAATTTTCTCCTCATTTCAGTGTCTCCTGGATCTGACTCCTCATCCCTGCCCTGCCCCAGGCTCACCTCTGGGCAGGACATTCCAGGCAATGGTGTCTGTGATGGCTGTGAAGATCCAGTTCAGCTCTCCCAGGGGAGTTCTCCTGTCATTCAGCCTCCCAGGAATCCTGGAAGTGGGGGAAAGGAAACCCTGAATAAGAGCTCTGTTATTTTGCCTTTCTCCTCATGAGAAAGTATCAGCAATAGGATGAGGAAGTTTCAGAAACCTGCTAAGACATCCCGTGGATTTAATCCCAATTTAACCCCATTTCCTTTCTGTGACAAGTATTAAATATCAGGAGCATCAGGACCAAGGCAGGAAGCCTCTCTGTGGCCACTCACAAGCAGCAGCACCACTGCCATGAATAAACACAGCTCTGAACCAGAAATTACCATCCTATGAAAGATTCCTGTCTGCTGTCAGAGGGAAGGCAGACATCTCTGAAGCAGCGTTTGCTAATGGATCCCCTGCAGCAGGCACAGGGAACACGAGGCCACAGAGGCTCTGTGAGGATTCCCCATCGATATTTGCACTGCAGAGCCCCCAGTGCAGCAGGCACAGCTCCCCAGGCCACAGGGGAGCATCCCTGGGAGCTCCCCCAGCAAGGCACACGTGGCTCACAGTGGGATGGCAGCTCCCACTGCAGGTTTCAGTCGGCAGCAGGGATTTCCACATGGAAAGGGTGGGCAGGGGTTGGAGGGGCTGCCCAGGGAGGTTTGGAGCTGGGCACAGGGTGGGATCAGGCACGGCTTGGACTCGATCTTGGAGGTCTCTTCCAACCTCCAGGGTTCTGTGTGAAACCTCCTGGCGTGGCAAAAGCTGCTCAGACAGGACCCAAAGGGCAGGGCTGGAGGAATCCTGCACCACAGGATAGTGATGAATGGCCGGAGCAGAAGCAGCTGCACACTGAAACAGGGAAGCACTGCAGGGA